TTCAAACTTTCTACTCACTCACAAAACTATATTCCCCCATTCTAAACCTTCTCGATTTGGCCCTTAGGTGTCTCTGGGCTCTCTTCTGCATGCGAATTTTCTTGTTCGTGGTCGATATAGATGAGGGACGTCTCCAAGAACGTCAAATCGAAGGTGGGGCGGCCTTCCTCTGACGCGGGTTCACAAGGGGGTCATGTCTGGGACTAGCATCTTCCTTTTTTCGCGCGGATATGAAGGAAGGGTGGAATTGTCAGAGATCGAACTGTAGTGTGCTGGGGATGAGTCAGAACTCACCGAGAGGTGGACATACCCATCTGCATTCATTGTGGCTTGGAATTGAGGAGAGAATACTCACTCTCTTCGAGTAAAGAACTGATTATACAAATGCGACGGATGAGGATTGCCTATATTATACCATTACTTTCTTATTTTCTTCTTTTAAATGGGTTCAACGCTCTAAGAAAGAAATTCACAGGATTATACATATACTTTATATACCACTTTAGCATACCTACATAATTAATCCTATATATGGTTCTATTATAAGTATATTTAATATTATATATATAAGTATGGGAGATATAAATTAATATAGTAACTAGAAATATACATTTTTTTCCAAAACATAGTTGTAGCTCATGTACACATCACAATAACAACACTCTACATACAGAAATAAATTTTACTATACTATGCCAGAAAGGCTTAACAATATTAATTACCAATATATTGAGTATTCATAGAGCTTTTTACACTAACTCTATAACAACAAACGATCACATCAACGGACACATTTATTTATATATAATATTATATCACACATGTGAATTAGGTAAGGTTCAAGTCAATGATTTAAATTTACAATCTGGCATTACATTATATTAGAACATATATATATAACTGATGAAAACAAGGTAGTGATTTTATAAACTTGGTATATTATATGAGATTTATAAATTACATCAAAAAATATATAATATTCCAAAATATATAGCTGATTATTATGTTGTGTGTTTGTGTGTCCTTGGTGGGTTAGTTAAGTGGCTCATTTTTATGTATATCATACCAACATTACTATTGACATAAATTATATATATATATTAATACAATAGAATCTTTTTTTTTAATGAAACTGCAACTACATATTTAATTATTTATATATATTATACCATATATATATAATATATATAATACATTTTTTAATTCTCTGTAGTATTATATATATTATATCTAGAGAATATTTAATAAAAGAAACGCAATATATAACATTCATATTAATATAATTAAAATTCCCATTTAATTAATGTTTGTAATATATAAATAGTATAATATATATTAATAATAAATATTGTTTCTTTACTTATATATATATATATATATTTATATAATCACATATAATACATATATACCACACCTGATCACACAGATTAAAACAAACCGGGCTCGGGAACCACGCCATCCCCGGTCCGGCAACATTGGCTAATCATAACCAAGCAAATAGCATCCGGAGTTGGTAATTAATTATCAACAATCACGAAGTTAATGGTGGGTTGTTGTGTGTAGGTGGGAAACTCCAGGCAGAGCTAGAGGAGGGAAGTGCTCGGCTTTGTGCCATGAGGTTCCCTCTGTCGTGATGGATCGTTTGCTCGAATTTATATACGAAGGTCTGATTGGAGATTTTGCAGGAGTGCAGTATCTCCTACCTAGACGATAGTTTCTGAAAAAGGAAATAATTAACATTAAAATCACCAATATTGGTTCTCCAGGGCCGTTATTTGGCTCGTGAGTGTACACAAAACAATCGCGAAAAAGGCTCGGCTGTAACAAAATATTTTTCACGCTCGTATTATCACTTAATATAGATAACACATGATTGTATAGTTCGCAGAGTGTCGATAAACGGTAACAGTGGTAGATTCATCGCCGTAACAACAACAGAGATTGAAATCAGTCTCATTCTATTGATTATACCTCAGAGGATTGTTTAATTCAGATTGGATACAACGGAGGGAACAAGTACAATAAGAGATTGTGTCTATTGCATAAATATATATAAGACGTAAATCGATAATTTCCGTACATACATTAATATATAAAAATATTTGTTACTATTCTTCTTATTAAAAGTATAACGTAGTAATAAATCTAACAATGCTTGTATGTGTATATCTTATGATATAAACCTTATATATTAATATTACAAATTTTGTAACAACTAATTATACTTTACCAATATATTATGTATATTTAATTCTATAACGCTAGTAATGCTAGTACTAAATAATTATACTACTAAAACCATTAGTATTATAAGGTACTTTATATTAATTAGTACATTATTATATAATTTAATATTATCAAGTTAAAAACATTACTTACACTAATAACATATAATTACAAATCATATAAATAAACTTCTTTAGTAGTTATTAGAATTACTTAAATAACAATATATTCTTGGGACTTATTATTATTATAAATATTAGGTAATGCAAATCTTACAAGATTAGTATAGTATTATTAAAAATATTATAATATTGAAAATAATTAAGATTGCTTAGGTCTAATAAATTAACAATATAACTATGATTTTATTTATACTTATAGGATAGAAACATTATATTTTTTATCTATAAAGGAATAGTTTTATGGTTCATGTTGCCTAGTAATAGACCGAAACATTAACCAAACACTATATTACATTATTTATTACTTTATTCATATTACAAATATGAAGCTTACAAGACTATTATTATTACACTATTTTTAGATGTTGGGTATATATAATATGGTCTAAATTTTATCCAGGTTTAACTATATAAAATATATTAATATTGAGCTTGAAAAGAGACCCAAAAACATAGGATTTACTGTAGAATAAACTAGACATACTAACTAGATCAGAACGAAAAAAATATAAAAATTGTTACTAAAATCTACCGAGAATCTTCTCCCAAACAATCAAGAAGTTCATAAAAATCCCAAAACCAAGCTCCCCAACAGTCGAAAGGAACCTCAGATGAGCTCCCGCCTGCCCAGCCACTTGTTCCTCCCCAGATAATGATACAAGACCCCTTCACGATTGGAAAGAAACACGGCATAAAATGAACGAAAAAGAGTTCATTGCTAAAAAAAATATTACTGTTCAAGATAATATCATATATAGTAATTAAAAAACGTCTGAAATATAATGGAATATGATTGGTTGTTAGGTCGGGAGTAACTGTTATATTGGTAGTGGCCTTTGCTTTCCTGCCTCAACGGTTACCTATGTATTCTTCGAATTTTCTGTCTCAACGGTAAACACAACAGTAAACAGAGGTAAAAAGATAACCAGAAAATAATTCGATAATAAAAGGAAGACTAATGTCGCTTGAAAAAAAAAAAAAAATCTATTATCGATTCTGTGCCACTTGCCAACTTCGTAATATTTTTTTGTCCTTTCCCTCTTCTTCCCCTTTGTTAGACCTCTTCATCTTGCCTTTTTACTCTTCTCTTGCTCTCTATCCTCCTTTTCCCCGACTCGTTCAAGGCCAACCAATGTCTGAATTATTTCACTACGTCACGTTCTATTTACAACAAGTGTTTGCGAGTGAGGAGTCCTTTCCCTTGTTTATGTCGAGCTCTCGTAAGATTTCGTGGAAGAATAAGATTGTCTTTCAGCTTTTTTGTTTCATTGTTTTTTCTTGCTTGGTGTGCAGTTTTCATCTCAAAAACAAGTTAAAGGTATCTTTCCATATGCGGACGTTTTGTCATGGTAATGTAATCTCTTTGAAGCAATTGTTATGACCAATACAGTGCCCTCATTGCGAAAGCGCCTTCTAGGATTCGGTGTTTAGATCTACGCAACAATATAACTATAAACATATACACAAAAAATTGTAACGGCAGAGGAAAGGTAACAGAAATGAAAACAGGAAAAATAGATACATATATAGAAAGAGAAGAGACATAAGGCATCTTTTCCGGTAGCAATTAGGGTGTCGCGAAACGCTCCGCGACACCTATCACGAGACACAAAGTGTCTCGTGATCGGAGACGAGACAGGCCTCTAAGCTCCGCCCATTTCTGTGACGTAATGGGAATGATCGCGGTTAACGGCTTGTTATTTTACTGTACTAGTTATTTTTCCAACAGGTAAAACAGTTTTGGAAATATATCTAAGATAGCTTTTGATATCTTATGGTGAGTAGTGCGGTGTTATAGATATCCAATATAAGTACGAATATGCATGAAATATCCAAAGTAGGAGGAATGCATCTGGCAACTCATTTAAAGTTAATCGCCTGCTCGATTCCTGTCGCGCAAGAGGTGTCGCGTTTCCCGTGACTGCTGGAAAAGATGCCTATAGAGAGATAGAAGAGAGATAGATATATAGATGGCTATATACACATACATAGAGGGAGAGAAATGGGTGATAGATAGTATATTATATATTAATACGGGATAATAGATAGATGATAAGAATAGAATAGATAGAGATAGATAGATAGATAGATAGAATAGATAGATAGATAGATATATAGGATAGATGATAGATAGATAGATAGATAGATAGATAGGATAGATAATAGATAGATAGATAGATAGATAGAATAGTAGAGTGAGTGAGATAGATAGTGAGTGAGTGAGTGAGTGAGTGAGTGAGTGAGTGTGAGAGTGAGTGAGTGAGTGAGTGGAGTGAGAGTGAGTGAGTGAGTGAGTGAGTGAGTGAGTGAGTGAGTGAGTGAGTGAGTGAGTGAGTGAGGTGTGAGTGTGTGTGTGTGTGTGTGTGTGTGTGTGTGGTGTGAGAGAGAGAGTGAGAGAAGAGAGAGAGAGAGAGAGAGAGAGAGAGAGAGAGAGAGGAGAGAGAGAAAGAGAGACACAGAGAGAAAGCGAGAGACAGAGACAGAGAGTAGAGAATGACTGTCACTCATAATGGCCACACAATGCTAAGCGATCTTCGCATTATGAAATCGTTGCGAACTCAATGCCGAGAGAAGGCCTCCTCGGAACGCATT